AACCTTGTAGCCACGGTTTACACCAATGTACTCTTATTGTACACATCGAATTTCACGAAATATTTTTGCCCGCATTTAATATATATTTTTATTCAGGTCTTACATATGGTTCGTAATGCGAAGCTGGTTGGTCAATCTATTATTGCTTACTTGCAGCAGAAAGGTTATCCTGAGGTAAATTAGTCTTTGCTTTTCTACAGTATGCTATGTGTGTTCTCGTGAGCAATGGATGGATTTTTTACAAAGTCCCGGCTAGGTCTAATATAAATGTATAAAAATTCCACTTTGAAATTTCCATGTACAAAAACCTTCTACAAGTAACTGTATCGACACATGGCCGGATTTTGAGGGGAGGTGTGGAGAGGTGCGCACCTCTCCTGAGATCGTTTTGCACCTCCCTTGAGAATTTTTGCTCTTCCTCTGAAACGTCATGCACCTCTCCTTGGGAAAGTTTCAATGATAGATCAAAGTGAAAATTTGACATTTTTTGGTTGCTTAGGGTCAACACTTCGTAAGAAAGTTTTTCTGTACAATTGAAACAGTGATAGCCATTCATCTCTATGTCAAGTACCCTTTCAATGCAATGTTTTGAAAGAAACTTTGTAGTATAATTGTAATGAAGGGCAAAATTGGATGAGTTGTATACTCATAATTCATTAATACACTGATACATATGTACACTACATGCATACGTCACGTCGTCGACTTTGGCCCGTTCTAAGCCCTAACTTTCCATGGGGATCGTGAGCTAGACAGCTGCATCTCGCCTCAATTTTTTTCCACTTCCCCCACTATTTCCACCAAAATCCGGCCTTGTTTAATCGAATGAGATGCCTACATCTTAATGAAGCTCGCCTAGCTATATTTCAACTGTACCAAGCTTAGAGGTTTTCGTCAAAACAAAACTAGAGTATGATGGATTAGCCTTTCGCTTACTGTCAAATACTGTCCTTTAATAATTAGCCAAAATAGCCTTTCGCTTTTTTTGATTTAGGTTGCTTTACATTTTGTGAAAGATGAACGAACCAGATTTGGTCTCGCTTTGGAATGTGGAAACATCGATGTGAGTATAGAAAAGAAATATTGCCTAGTACAATCCAGGAAAACATTGTGTATTAGTATTTTTGCACAAGTGAATATAACAAATCCTACAAGTTGATTGGTCAAATTTGACGTATTTTAAAAGCTGTTCACAAAACCGAAATGTGCAAAATGGCGGCTAGCCGCTTTGTGGAAGTTACTCGTAAAGAAATAAGCGAAATTAAAATAAATTCAGTCCCAAAAAACACAAAAGACTTGTGTAAAAATACATTGTGTATTAGTATTTTTGCACAAGTGAATATAACAAATCCTACAAGTTGACTGGTCAAATTTGACGTATTTTAAAAGCTGTTCACAAAACCGAAATTTGCAAAATGACGGCTAGCCGTTTTTGGAAGTTACTCGTAAAGAAATAAACGAAATTAAAATAAATTCAGTCCAAAAAAAACACAAAAGACTTGCGTAAAAATATTAAAACAATTATTCGCCTCAGGCTCGGTGATTATCGGGGAATATTCACCTTGACTTCGTCTCGGTGAATATTCCCCGATAACCACATCGCCTTCGGCGAATATTTGTTAATGAACAACATTTTAAGGTTACAGAACACCTTTGAGTGTTAATTTTGCCTAAAATTTTTTTATTGGTTTCCATGAAAGCATTAGACTAGTTCTACTATCTGACCAAGTTTGGACGAAAAATGTTGAAAACTCGCAGAGTTATTTAATAAAATACATTTCGCTGCAATAAGGAAAACATTGAAAATGTAATATTCAAATTCAATTTTCTCCCGAAGAATTTTACGGTAATTACTGATTTTCAAACGAGTTGTGCTCCTGCGGGTTTTAACCAATTTTTCTCAAATTTTCACAGGACATAGCTAAAGACGTCAGTTTCAAAATTGTGTTCGGCTTTTTTTTAATTTTGGATATTTTAATAATAAAGAGCAATTCACTTAAACAATTCAGAAATATATTGCAGTCGTCAAAGAAATCGCCATATCAGCGGAAAGACGAAATAAACAAAAATTTCCGAACACAATTTTTTAGATCAACTATTTTGCTGTATAAAAATGATATTTTCATAAATATAACTTAAAACCAGCAGGAGCACAACTCAAAAGCGTAATGGTACCACGATTTAAGATTTTCCTGAATAATTCTTACATTATTTTATTGTTTGTTAATTTTAAAACTTTACCATATTTTGCCTGCACTGGCGAATATTTGGTGAAAATTTGATTAAAATCGGACCGATATTGAGCGGGCAGTAGCGATTTTCCACAAAACGCCAAAAAGGGTGTCCTGTAACCTTAACCCCTTCGAAGGAGCGGAATAGCTGCATTTTGAGATTTGATCGTTTCAGCGCGAGCTGAGATTTCACACCAGGTTTGAACTGAAATTCTAATTCATCTCGGGCTGAAATTTGCCATGTAATCATGTAACAATTTCAGCTCCATTAATCAGGTTGGAATTCAGCCCGGGCTGAAAACTCCCCATGCAAAGATTAGCCCCTATCAGATTCAAAATTATTTAAATGATTTCATTGATATACTTAATTCCTTAATCCTGGTTTCCATATGGTCGTAATGTCGTAAAAATAGAGTCACGATCTCTCTCAACGGCCAGTTTATAATAGTTTATACCTGTAAACCACATAATTATAAATCATAAGTGTTCTCTAGTTATAATCACTCTGCGTATTTTTAGTTCTAAAATGTTGTATTTCAGCTGATGAGAAAGATCGTGACTCATCTTTACGACCGTTACGACCATATGGAAACCACTCAAACCAGAAGAAAAAATGTTAGGAGGGATTCCAGTCAAACTGGATGTTCTCTTGCGAGCAATATTGCAATATTGTCCCACAATATTGCAATTTTGATGGGCAGATTGCTCTGAGCAATTTGCAACCGACGCGAACAAATTGCAATTTGAAATTCACTAAAGATTTGTAAACAAAGCCTCTGGTTGGACTATAAGAAAGGGTGAAGCACCAATCCAGTTGCTCAGACTATTTGATTGGCCAATCAGAGGCTTTGTTTACAAATCTTTTGTGAATTTCCAACTTGCAATTTGTTCGTGTCGGTTGCAATTTGCTCAGAGCAATATGCCTATCAAAATTGCAATATTGTGGGACAATATTGCAATGTTGCTCGCAAGAGAACATCTGGTTTGACTGTAAGTATGGTCCACTCCTTATATAAAAGCTTTCTTAGTATTGAATTTTTGAATATTTGCAGAGTAGAAATGTATGTTATGTCCATGACCGGATTTTGGAGGGAGGTACGCACCTCCCCTGAGATCGTTTTGCACCTCCCCTGAAAAGTCATGCACTTCCCCTTGGGGAAGTTTCAATGATAGATCAAAGTGACATTTTTTGGTTGCTTAAGGTCTACGTTTTGTAAGAAAGTTTTTCTGTAAGTGATAGCCATTCATCTCTGTGTCAACTACCCTTTTAATGCAATGTTTCGAAAGAAACTTTGTAGTAATTGTAATGAAGGGCAGAATTGGACGAGTTGTACAGTCATAATTCATGAATACACTGATACATATGTACACTACTTGCATACGTCATGTCGTTGACTTGGGCCCGTTCTAAGCCCTAACTTTCCATGGGGGTCGTGAGCTATACCGCTGCACCTCCCCCCAATTTTTTTCCACCTCCCCACACTATTTGGGTAGATCGTTCCATAGTTTTGTCCCGTTTATAAAAACGAACACTGTCCCGCAGCTGTCTTATAAAGTGGGGCATCTGTGGTTGATCTTGCAATGAAAAATATTTATTGTTTTTTATTTATAGGCCGCATTAGAAGCTGCTCGAGCTTTGGATGACAAAGCATGCTGGGAAAAATTGGGCGCAGTTGCATTACGTCAGGGAAATCACCAGGTATTACGAGAAAGCATAATTTAATTAAAACGTCATTGTCAACCACAATGCATTTGTTTACATCTTACCTACGGAAGTGACAAATAGCACGAAATGACGATTATAAACATTTCTTTGGTGCAATTTTAGTATAAAAAGTTAAAATGAGCAAGTATAACCATGATTTCTTGTACATAATCACTAGATAGACATTTTTAGTAGGATCCTTGATAAAAAATTCAGTAACGGTTAATAAGCAATTGCGATTGTTCTTGTAACTCGTAAAAGGGTCAAGATGGCGCCATATGGGGGAAAAGCTGGCATATTGCACTTGTCATATCTTCGAAACGAGTTCGGTGACCCCAACTTTTTTTCTGTTTTTACCATGAGCATATCATAAACTTCACCCCTGGGACGTTTCGGCAAATTCTCACTTCCAGAACAATTACTGTGACATGAGTTTGATAACTGCTTGTGCAATTTTCTGCAGACAATGTCTAAAGTTTCATGTTGTCTGGACATGTACTTTCTTCGGAGACACCATTTGCCTCCTGACAAATCGGAAAATGATCAAGATAGTGACTCGGATTGATTTAAATATTGTATTGACATATGACTGTTGAAATTGCTTTTTAGTCTTCAATATTTGAGTGAGTCATGCTTTGGAAATGACAATACATTTTTATTACCCAACCCTTGAGTTGTTTTGTTTTTCATTTACCCAACCTTTTACTCGCTCAAAATTTTGTTTACCCAACCCTTTTCTCTTCGGTGCCACGCCCAGCCATAAATAATGACCACTCCCTAAGACAATCGGTGAAGATGAAATATATTTTGAAAATGAACCCATGGTTTTATTATCATTCTTTCTGTATGAAGGTGTTGGCATCTTAACTGCCTATTCTGTAATAGCTTCCTAGTGTCTACATATGCTATAACTTGTAATGTCGTTTAGATCGTGGAGATGGCGTATCAACGAACCAAGAACTTCGAGCGATTATCATTCCTTTATCTTATCACTGGTAACGTGGAGAAATTAAGAAAAATGATGAAAATTTGTAAGTATTCCAAACTATTCTTATAATTACTGTCGTTCCAATTGAAGTGTTCCTCAAATATTGATTCAATACATTACCTCACGGTGACCAATTCATTTGATCAAGTTCCTCGAGATATTCATACACTTCCTGTGAAAGAGCCAATTCCAAGAATTTGATCATTTCTGGTCACTTCCTTTCTATTTATGATTGGTTAGTTGCACAAACAACAAAGGTGATTGGTGCATTCAAACTATTCAACAGGAAGTTTACAATTATACTAGGAAGTATATGAATATTTCGAGGAACTTGATGAAATGAATTGGTCAGCCCGAGGTAATGTATTGAATCAATATTTGAGCAACACTTCAATTGGAACGACAGTAATAGCATGGCATTCAGGGCGATTAGTGATTAAATGTACCCGAAAGCCGAGAGAGGTCGAGGCTTGAGGGACATTTCATCACTAATCGACTGTATTATCACTTTGTAATATCATAGCTACCCAGACAATAAAACGGTTTCGATTGAATAAGTTGAAATGAAAAGGCACATTTGTTTTTTATACTAATGACTATCTGGATGTTCACTAATCAGGTTACGGTTGATTTTTCATGACTGTAAATATTTAATTGAACATCAATATGTAACAAGGTGAATAATTGTTTTAGTGGGGTGAATAATTGTTTTAGTGTAATTTCATAGGTGATTATGTATAGGATAATGCCCAAGCTCGAGGTATTATTAAAAATAATGACCGAGCGCGTAGCGCGAGGTCATTATTTTTAATAATACCGAGAGCGAGGGTATTATCCGACTTAATGTACATTATGGTGTTTATGAACAAAGAAAACTATTAAGATAGTTACAAGTTCATTGTTGTGGTACTATTATTTTTCACATATTTGTGTTTTGTATGCGCATTCCTGGGCTGTGTTTTTTCAACAGCTACCTTTTTATTACTTGATTGATATTTGTGGAGTGAGGATGTCTGGTTCGAGAAAGCGAGATTTTAGTTTGTTTGGAGAAGGATATGACGATGAATTTGAAGTTGAAAAGACCAATGATTGGGATTGCGAAAACCCTAAAGAGGGTTTGAGAAAAGCGTTTTATTTGAAACCCTTGCAAAACTATGAAAGGAAGCAAATATGGTTTTCCAGTGTCCCAATAGGCCACAATAAGTTACAAGGTATGGTTAAGTGTATAATGGAGAAAGCGGGTGTAAATGGGCACTTTACTAATCATTCATTGCGAGCCACAGCCGTGTCGAGGTTATTTCGTGAAGGCGTTGATGATAAGCTGATAAAGGGGGTTACTGGGCATCGTTCCGAGGCTCTCGATTGTTATAAGCGAGAAACAGGGGAGCAGCATGCAAATGTCTCGAAAATCGTGCAAGGTATCACGTCAGAGAAGGGTGCAACGGCGGAAAGTAGCGCGCCAATAGAGAAGGGTGATGATGGAATGGGGTCGGTTGTTTTAAATATTAGTGGCGGCAATTGCAACATTACAATAGTTAATAAGCCCTAGTTTTTTAAAACTTTATCGTTGTAGTTAAATTAAAATGGAAATTTTTGTAGTGTAATTAAAATTTGCTTTAAAGCAAAGTTGTAACGCACAATGGTTTATTTTTTATTCAAGCGAAAAATCGGGGTCATTATTTTAAATATTGGAGGTCATTATTAAAAATAATAACCTCCTGACATTAAATAATGACGTTGCATTAACTTGCGCATGTCGATTCTTGAAAATAATAACCTGTTCAAAACAATGAAAATGTGCATTAATTGGGGAAAAAATACACATTTCTTCGTCATTTAATTGACAAAACGGCTTCGGCCGCCATTTTGAAAATCGCTTAGGTGAATACAAGGTGAATATCGCGTTATAATCACCTCAACGGCAACCAATCAGCGTGGAGAATTTTCAATAATCACCTATGTAATTGTACTAACAGAGGTTATGCATAAAGATGAGGGGTGATTAATTACTAATCGTCCCGTAGGATGATTAGTTTCTAATCGTCCCTCATGTTTTAGCAATGAGGTAAATTAGCTAGTCATTAATTGTCCCTCGCGAAACAAAGGATTTCGAGGTGGCTATGTTATTATCAATATTAAAAATGCTAGATGGGGGACCAGGATTCATAATAAAGTTTTTGAAACGTTCTCTGATCGTAAAATTTATTTTGACACGAGCTTTCGACTGTCAGTCTGCAGTCTTTGACAGGTAAAGTGATACTAAATATAGAGTTATTCTACGAATATAGCTACTAGGATAGTGTATTACAAATACAATGACATGCAACACATTAAATTCTGACAACAATTGCGCAACATTTACCAGAACAATATAGATTTTTATTATTAATAAAGAACAGATCCTAGTTTTATACTTATAACAACACTCGTTATACTAGAGTTTACGTAGGCGGAACTACTTATTGATATTGCATGTCATTGTAATTATAAACCACTGTCCTAGTAGCTATATCCTTGGAATTTAGTACCATGACCTTTACCTGTCGAAGACTGCAGACTAGCAGTCGAAAGCTCGAGTTAAAATAAATTTTACGAGCATAAAACGTTTCAGAAACTTTACAATTTTCACTGTTTATCATTCTCAATGTTTATCTGCTGTGTATATATACTCAGTGGGTATTACAGGATGTACAAAACTTGAAAGCCCTTGAATCTCCTTGAATTTGAAAACAAAAATTCAAGGCCTTGAAGTTCTTGAATTTGTAAAGAAGCACTTGAAAATCATGTTTCGTTCGCTACTCTGGTTTAAATAAATGATTACAAAGCCCAGTCGAATTGTAATCAAGACCCAACGTTTCGACACTCCAGTCTAGTGTCTTAAATTTTTCTTGCTTTAGTTTATGGATATTTTCTGAAATTGTTTGACATTCAAAAACGGACATTTTGTTGAATTGATTTTGCATGTTCGTATCTAACAAAGCTGTTTGAAACTCATTAAAGTTGCCTTTTGACAAATTCATCATCAGATTTTACTGATTTCTAACGCCTTCAGTATTTAGTCCTTGAATTTGCTGATACATGGCCTTGAATGTCCTTGAAAAGTTCTTGAATTTGACTCTTCCTCGCATGGACGAACCCTGATATTAACCTAAGGCTAATACTGCATGTTATTTTGTTTGCAGCTGAGATCAGGAAAGATGTGAGCGGTCAATACCACAATGCACTGTACGCTGGCGACGTAGAGGAACGAGTCAAGCTACTGAAGTCACTTGGACAAGGTGGGCACAAAACTAATTTCTCGTTTGCGCGAAACATTGAACTCTGCCACTGATTAAGTATATACCAGATGTGTGAACTTAATAGGACTTCGTGTCCTAAAATTTCCCTAGATGTACACGACATGCTCACGCCATGACACTTGCTAGCTAAATGGCGTCCTGAAAATAACGAACTTTTGCATTTTATTGCGCCTTTTTTGGATCGAAATTTATGGATTAAACAATCAAGAGCATCATTTGTTGAATGTTTGAAGTTGTTGAAAGCAATTAAAGTTGTAGAAAAGGTGTTGACAGCATTTTTGAAAGCAATGATGTATTACCAAATGACGAATAATTACGCGAACGACACTTGCTAGGAAGATGGCGACCATGGGACAACATTTGTACTGAAGTTACACATCTGTGCACACTTAATCTATGACTCCGCAGAGTTTCATAAAATACAGAAGGACAATGACTCCGAATAACATCACCAGGAATAGTGTAAAATTACAAATACATACAGTATATAAAGTAAGGAAGTGCCATTGAACGTGCCCAGAAATCACGCACATAATTTATTCTACTTTCGTAATTTGCATACTGTATATCACGTTGAAATATGGCTTCAACTGTAAACAGTGAATTATATAACGCGACGTTGTTAATTGCGAAATCTGAGAATAATATAGGTGGTTTGTAACTTGCCTCAATCGCTGGCTACAAAACAAAGTGTGTCGAAGTATTTAGTGTAATGTTGGCTTGATTTCAGTTACTGCCTATTCTGCGGCATTTTCAATATTTGTACAGAGGTTAGTTTTTCGGCTCAAAAAATGGTTATTTTTCCCGCGCGTATTGCAAATATATACAAAATTTGCGAACTTTACAGGGCTGTATTTAGGGTTGGGCGATATTAAAAAAATCATCTCACGATTATTGTCAAGGAAATTATCACGATATTCGATAATATCGCGATAAATGCAATAAAAACAGTGAACACATTTTTCAATTTTAATTATCAAAGCAGCTATAGTAAGCTCATATATATTCTTATTAAAACAAGTAAAACAACAAATTAAAATAATATGAAGGCTTTTTCTAGTCTAATATTTACTGTTCGTAAACCAGAACAAAACCTGCAATTTCAATGGAATCATCCATCGTTGACCACAGAGTTTGGTTTTACTGTTTACTGAAATTTACATTCTACTGTATCTCACAGGTTCGCTGGCCTACTTGACCGCAGCCACTCATGGGCTTGAAGAGGAGAGTGAAAATATCAAGGCGGAATTTAACTTGGATTCTGATAAGATTCCTGCTGTCAATCCAAACGCTCGCCTGTTACGGCCCGCCGTTCCCGTGCTACCCAATGAAGTCAACTGGCCCCTTCTCACTGTGTCTAAGAGTGTATTTGAGGGAGCAGTCTCGAAAGGTACGTCATTTACTTTATGGCTATGCATTTACACTATACCGAATAGCTTTTCGTAGCGGCGCGAAAAAGCACCCATCCGATACGCAATGTACAACTCTCAGAAGTTGAGCGAAACAACATCTCTCCGTTGCAATAATTCCTCTGAAAATAGCGTTCCCAAAAGGTACGGATAGGTGTTTTTTCACGTCGCTACGAAAAGCTATCCTATACAGTGTAAATCTAGCCGATATAGGGAAAACAGTTTAGAACTCATAGAGCTATTCAGTATTATTCCAGTATAAATAAAGTTAGTTTGGTTTATGTTTCCTCCTGTAGTAACACTGGATCAATAAGAGATGATCCTTACTGGACCTCTAGGAAGAACAGTTTAGAACTGATAGAGCTAACCAGTATAAATAAAGTTAGTTTAGTTTAGGTTTCCTCCTGTAGTAACAATGGATCAATAAGAGGATCCTTACTGGACCTCTAGGGAGAACAGTTTAGATCTGATAGAGCTATCCAGTATAAATAAAGTTAGTTTAGTTTAGGTTTCCTCCTGTAGTAACACTGGATCAATAAGAGGTGATCCTTACTGGACCTCTAAGAAGAACAGTTTAAAACTGATAGAGATATCCAGTATAAATAAAGTTAGTTTGGTTTAGGTTTCCTCCTGTAGTAACAATGGATCAATAAGAGGTGATCCTTACTGGACCTCTAGGGAGAACAGTTTAGATCTGATAGAGCTATCAGTATAAATAAAGTTAGTTTAGTTTAGGTTTCCTCCTGTAGTAACACTGGATCAATAAGAGGTGATCCTTACTGGACCTCTAAGAAGAACAGTTTAAAACTGATAGAGATATCCAGTATAAATAAAGTTAGTTTGGTTTAGGTTTCCTCCTGTAGTAACACTGGATCAATAAGAGATGATCCTTACTGGACCTCTAGGAAGAACAGTTTAGAACTGATAGAGCTATCCAGTGTAAATAAAGTTAGTTTAGTTTAGGTTTCCTCCTGCAGTAACACTGGATCAATAAGAGATGCTCCTTCCTGGACCTCTAGGAAGAACAGTTTAGAACTGATAGAGCTATCCAGTATAAATAAAGTTAGTTTAGTTTAGGTTTCCTCCTGTAGTAACACTCGATCAATAAGAGATGATCCTTACTGAACCTCTAGGAAGAACAGTTTAGAATTGATAGAACTATCCAGTATAAATAAAGTTAGTTTAGTTTAGGTTTCCTCCTGTAGTAACACTGGATCAATAAGAGATGATCCTTACTGAACCTCTAGGAAGAACAGTTTACAATTGATAGAACTATCCAGTATAAATAAAGTTAGTTTAGTTTAGGTTTCCTCCTGTAGTAACACTCGATCAATAAGAGATGATCCTTACTGGACCTCTAGGAAGAACAGTTTAGAACTGATAGAGCTATCCAGTATAAATAAAGTTAGTTTAGTTTAGGTTTCCTCCTGTAGTAACACTGGATCAATAAGAGATGATCCTTACTGGACCTCTAGGAAGAACAGTTTAGAACTGATAGAGCTATCCAGCATAAATAAAGTTAGTTTAGGTTTCCTCCTGTAGTAACACTGGATCAATAAGAGATGATCCTTACTGGACCTCTAGGAAGAACAGTTTAGAACTGATAGAGATATCCAGTATAAATAAAGTTAGTTTAGTTTAGGTTTCCTCCTGTAGTAACACTGGATCAATAAGAGATGATCCTTACTGGACCTCTAGGAAGAACAGTTTAGAACTGATAGAACTATCCAGTATAAATAAAGTTAGTTTAGTTTAGATTTACCCCAGTAGAGTAACACTGTATCAATAAGAGAGGATCCTTACTGGACCTCTAGGAAGAACAGTTTAGAACTGATAGAGCTATCCAGTATAAATAAAGTTAGTTTAGTTTAGATTCCCCCCAGTATAGTAACACTGTATCAGTAAGAGATGATACTTGGGTCTCCAGGAAGAAGTATATCAGACCAGTGAAAATAGTTATATGGCATATTTTCGAACAGATATATACTTGAAAAACACAAGTCAGACTTGCCTTACCTCTTCTAAAGAAAACACCTCGTGAATTTCTGGTTTCACTTTTCCTTCCTCATGTAGTTTTATAAGAGCTTCCATAGGAACACGCATCCTCTCCGGATAATTCAAGAGAATTTTACCAGCGTGGTAGCCGGCCACAACTCTATTGTCAGCCATTAGTTTAAAAGGCGAAAAACTGGATGATTGATACCACTAGAAAAAATGTAATTCCTGTTCAAATGGCTTGCCCAGTTATACCACTGTTCTGATAATGTAAGCATAGAATGGAACAAAGGTAACCAAGCATTTAAATTATATATATATGAGTGAATTGATAACTTACATGCCTAGTTACCACTGTTCTGATAATGTAAGCATAGAATGGAACAAAGGTAACCAAGTATTTAAATTATATATGCGAGTGAATTGATAACTCACATGGCCTAGTTACCACTGTTCTGATATAATGCAAATAGATTTCGGATTTGTGCCATCCAAAGAATAAACTTACCAATTTTGCGGAGGCAAACATACTTTTTGTCTGACCCTTCACAACATTGGCGGCGCCTGGAAACACGAATTGTTAATAATCAATCAGGGATGCAACATTTCATGTCCCTGAACTCTGTAGACGAGGCCCACTGATGGTCAGGCACTAGGGAGGGGGCAATCCCTGAAAGCCTTTAAATGATAGCTGAAAAACTCTGTAACAAAGCTATATAACAATAGGCCAGGCACAGATTTTCTGGGGGGTGAGGGGGGTGCACACACCCCCAGAAATGATTTGCACCCCCCAGAGGCATTGGGCACCGCCCCCAAAAGTTTTTGCACCCCCACAAATTATATATAATTATATAGCTCTAACCAACTGAGCTACAGAGAGACAGTTGTCAAGCTCTAACCAACTGAGCTACAGAGAGACAGTTGTCAAGCTCTAACCAACTGAGCTACAGAGAGACAGTTGTCGAGCTCTGACCAACTGAGCTACAGAGAGACAGTTGTCGAGCTCTAACCAACTGAACTACAGATAGACAGTTGTCGAGCTCTAACCAACTGAGCTACAGAGAGACAGTTGTCAAGCTCTAACCAACTGAGCTACAGAGAGACAGTTGTCGAGCTCTAACCAACTGAGGTACAGAGAGACAGTTGTCGAGCTCTAACCAACTGAGCTACAGAGAGACAGTTGTCGAGCTCTAACCAACTGAGCTACAGAGAGACAGTTGTCGAGCTCTAACCAACTGAGCTACAGAGAGACAGTTGTCGAGCTCTAACCAACTGAGCCACAGAGAGACAGTTGTCGAGCTCTAACCAACTGAGCTACAGAGAGACAGTTGTCGAGCTCTAACCAACTGAGCTACAGAGAGACAGTTGTCGAGCTCTAACCAACTGAGCTACAGAGAGACAGTTGTCGAGCTCTAACCAACTGAGCTACAGAGAGACAGTTGTTGAGATCTAACCAACTGAGCTACAGAGAGACAGTTGTCGAGCTCTAACCAACTGAGCTACAGAGAGACGGTTGTTGAGATCTAACCAACTGAGCTACAGAGAGACAGTTGTCGAGCTCTAACCAACTGAGCTACAGAGAGACAGTTGTCGAGCTCTAACCAACTGAGCTACAGAGAGACAGTTGTCCAGCTCTAACCAACTGAGCTACAGAGAGACAGTTGTCGAGCTCTAACCAACTGAGCTACAGAGAGACAGTTGTCGAGCTCTAACCAGCTGAGCTACAGAGAGACAGTTGTCAAGCTCTAACCAACTGAGCTACAGAGAGACAGTTGTCAAGCTCTAACCAACTGAGCTACAGAGAGAGACAGTTGTCGAGCTC